GGCGCATGCTTTTCTAAGGCGTCAATTTTATACTAACAATGGATATTTATTTAAGTTAATCTAGTCATTTTAAAGGTTTGGCATTATTGTAAAAATAAAATGCATTTATATTATATTTTTTTATATTTTAAGTAATTTTAAACTTAAATCACTAGACCTCTATGAAAAATTAACAAAAATCAACAGTCTTCGCAGGCGCCTCTGCGACGTAGGTTATCTTTTTCGGGTTAATCCGATCGTCGAGACGCCGGTTGTTAAACAATTCGAAATCGTCCGTGTTCCCCGAGCGCGCGTTCGCTGAAAAATTTGTTTTCGCATAGGATCGACGGCTCTCGCGCCATAGAAAAAAAGAGGGTGTTTCAACGTTGGAAAATCAGTCGTCCCGGGAATTTACAGCGCGCTCACGGTGCATGCGAGCGTTGCGTTTCGCGTGCAACGCGCGATACGGAGCGTGTTTGTCTCCCCGGTCGCCTATTATCCGAGGGAAAGCAGCTGCGCGCATCTTATCAGCGCCGATAACACGCAAAAATAGAAGCGAGTCGGTTGATCGCGGCGGAACACTCGCGAGGAATCGAAACGAGGCGGACTGCGAAACAGCCTCTGGCGTGCATCGGCGCAGGTGCGAGCCGAGTGACATGTGCACGCATCGTTATACAATTTTATAGTCGAAACACGATCGGCGCTTTCGCTCCGCGCAACAAAACCTGCATCTGGCTCTCGAAACGCGGAATAACAGCACGAGAGTGTGTCTCGACGGTTTCACGCGGAAATACGTTTCAACGTGTTCGCGACGAAATCTCTTAACTCGGTTGGATCCTCGAGCATTCCTCCAACGATCCGATACGATCGAGGCGAATCGTTAAATTTAACCATCGACGAATCTCAAGTTCGATGCGAAATATCGAAATCGCAGGGAGATGCGTGTAAGACGGAAAAGTTTCGACGAACGCGAAATAGAATGGACGAATTGATTTCTCGCTAAGTGGACACGGCAAAGAATTTTCTCCCCAACGGCAAACTTTAAATCTTCGTCGAACGAAGCTTTACACGTGTAAACTAATCTCTGTTCTTTCTCTGTTCCAGGTGAGTGTTACGTTGGCCCTGTTATCGGCATGAATCGATAGAAATTCTGTCCGAGTAAGTTACCAATATTTGCTAAAACGTACAGATAAAACGATATATATATAACTCTCCGTAAAAAAGAAGACGGGCTTTCGAGTGCCTGAAATTTTCGCGTCGCTTCCAAGTACCTGTGTACTCGACGAGAAAGTGTGTAAGCTAGACAATTTACAGCGGTAAATATACTCGAACGCGATGAGTCAAAGCTGAATTGGCACGATCCGTGTACAAGAGATTAGAGAGACTAGACGACGGTACAGATAACAATCCGAATCATTTTCGCTCGGTGGAATCTAGAACGATCTTCCTCGCGTTCCTATGACTCTTTAAACTCGGCCTTTCTCGAGCAAATCGTCCCTTCGATGAATTCGATCTTTGCTTTGCATCTGAAAGTTTTATAAGTTGTGCATCGACAGAATAGATTAATATACATTAAAATCTAAGCTTTAGAATCTAAAGAATTAGGATGAAAAGTGACAAAATATAGACAATTTCAAAGCGAGGAATCAAATTCTGTGCTAGCTAGACTAGGGTAAAATGGAGCCAGTTACTGTGGCGTGACCGATCGGCTGTGCCTTTGATTTATTTTCGGGCGAAATTAATTTCATATTCACCGGATAATACTAATATATATATATAATATTAATATATATATTATATATATATAATATATATATAATATAATAATATATATATATAATATTAATTATATATAAATATATAATATATAATTATTTAATTTATATTATAATTAATTTAAAAAATATTGTGTCATGCGTCGCGTCGCTTCTTGTAGACTGTTTCAAACAAGCTCGACTTTTCCGTCGGTAATAATCCACCGGTATATTTGTATTTACATTTTCAACAAAGATAACTGAGCACCGGAATATCGCTGTTTTCAGCCAACGAAATAATGCTGCGGAAATAATTTAACGAACAAGCGGCTATGTTTTATTTGTTGCGAAGTCCGGTGCATTTAATTATCGGATTTATGGTTGTTATGATCACCTTGTGGCCTCTCGAATTTACAAATTAAATGCAAACGCGGCCGGTAAAATCCACCAGGACCGTGGAATTCCTGGTTAATGTAAACGTCAAAGGTTCGCGGCAAAGCGTGAACAGGCACTGATGAAACATTGACAACCTTCGTGAATCCAGAAACCGTGACGGGATAATTATGTGGGAGGTCGGTAAATTTATTCGTTAATTACATTGAACATCTCAATTTTCTCGTGGTTCTACCAAGCTCTCGTGCCTTTGTATACAACCAAAGAGAGAGAAATTTTAAACACAAATATGTATCTATTTTAGAGTGTTTGCAAACATTTTCGTTTTGCTTTTCACAATTTAAGAAGAAAAAATATCCAGATGCTTTCGTACAAATTGGATAACTTGTTAAACGAAATGATTGCTGCTGGAACATTTTCGTAGAGTTTTCAAAACTTATTAATTTTATTATTATCACTATTATTATTATTATTATTATTATTATTATTACTACTACTACTACTACTACTACTATTATTATTATTATTATTACTATTATTACTATTACTATTATTATTATTATTATTATTATTATTTATATTTGTGAGGAGATGTTTATGTGTTCTCATCAAAATAGCAGCGTCAAAAATGTCAAAATCAAAGGCTTCCTTTTTGAAAGTGTACACGCGTTTCGAATATTACCATATTGGACCGATAATATTACTAAAAATTGAATATTCATGGGAGACTAAGTTATTCTGATACTGTTTTGTCTATTTTGTATCACTAATTGCCGCATCACTAATTGCAGATCCCCATCGTAATTAATTAGCCTCAAGTCAATTTTCATTACAATTGCTGTTCAGTTTTCATTAAAATGTGCTTCGACCATTGTGTTACAAAGATAAAAAAATTGTACTATGGAGATATTCTTCATTCTAGAAAATGACGGACGTTGGAAAAGTACGGGCATTCATCAATTTTCATCGATAATTGTTTCATGCCGATAAGGTATCCCGTAAGAAACCTTATTTTCCATAAATTGATTAAATTATTCTCAAATCGTATTGATAGATTTTCAATCGTGTATTAAAATACGAATGGTGTGTGTGTGTGTGTGTGTTTAATGATGATATTATTTCTACGAAATGGCCGACGTCGCGACAACACGTATAACCATAAATTTTCACGAATGATTACTTCATGCTAATAAAATGTTCGTATTATAGAGACTTTCCCGTACAAATGAATTTAATTAAATTCACCTTAAAATTTGCTTCGCGATCCTTCAACCATATTAATACTCTCCAACTTTCGCGTTTCGAACGCAAACGTTTACTCAATGAAGATCTATATTGTGCCTACAAAATGGCTGACGTTAGGACGGTATTTAATTAGATCCACACATTTTTATGAATATCACGTTAATAAAAAATATCTACGTTAAATATTATTACATTACATTCTCGTAAAATAATTCAATTATATCTTCCTTAAAACGTGCTTCAGAATTATTCGACCATGGTAACACGCTCCAAACTTTTCGTTTTAAACACAAACGTTTAATTCAACAGAGATCTATTATTTCCACAAAATGGCTGACGTTGGAAGAGTATTTAAATATGTCGTATGCAGATTCTCATGATTTCGTGTTAATAAAATATCCAGATTAAAGAATCATCTCCAATAAATTGATAAAATTCTACTATATTTTTTTTTTAATGTATTCACTGGAGATCTTTTATTTCCACAAAATGGCTGACGATGGAACTGCGTGTGACTGTTCATAAATTTTGCGACTGTTCTTAAATTTTTGCAATAATATTTAAGAAATATCTGTATCAAATCGATGGAATTATAAAGGAAAAAAAATGACGAATGTCGGTAAATCCTAAACTCTTCCGAAATGACTCTTCGAATCGCGAAATCGAGGAGAAAGGAACGGCTGTAACGTTTACCAGAAACCGGCAATCAGGTAGAAGCATTTTCGCGCTTCTACTCCCGAGAAGCCTAAAAATGCGAGAGGATCGATAGCCGGCAGTTCCATGCACTTACGGCTGTCGATTTTATTTGACGAGGTTCTTACGTGCCTTCGGGTGGGTATTTCTCGACCAAAGTCCCTCGAAAGTAACTTCGTACTTGGCCTCGTCGCAGGCGTTGCATTCCTGCAGCACCGGGCCCTGATCATCCGCCTCCGCTTTCAAGTCCTGACAGATCTTCAGAACTAAGTTCGGATCATCCATGTACCACGTATCCGGCGTTTCCAATATCGTTGCCCTGTGCCCCAGAAAATGAAACATAACGGACACACCGTCGCTCAGACCGCGGCCGAGATTTTGTTCGCCGTTCGACGATTGAGAACCGCTGTTCGTTATTTGTTTGCGAAACGCGGCGCGCAGATAACTTTAGAATTTCATCTGAGAGAACCATTACCGCGTCATACCAGAGGCGGACAGTTTTTATTTGAAATAAAGACAACAAATACTTACCCCAAATAAGACAACAAATAAGTTTATTTGACATAAGCAAAAACGTACGAATAAATTCTGAAATATTATTTGAGAAATAATTGATTTGCTAATAATTCCGTTATCTCGTACAGCAATGCAAAATAACAAATAATAAACATATCAACGTATTAACATATACTTTCTTTTTACGTGATAAACATATTCGTTACAGACGATTATTGGATTTTAATGCAACACGATATTCAAATGTATCATCTGATAGTTGGCTTGCAGTGTTATTAATAACTGTGGCAAACGTAAAAGTTCATTTCTCTTTTAATAATTTCAGCAGGTTAAAAGTATAACACGACAGTGTTTTGAATTTTCAAATTTGTGAAATGTTCTTTTCGTTTTGCAATCGATCCACTCGTTTTGAATAAAACTGCATAAAATTCTTGGTCTAATTACAGTTTACCTAAAGTGCATGGAAATTGTTTAGCGTTTTCGTTATCTTGTCCTAAACGAAAGTGTCCAATTCATGGTAGCTCTCGCCTACTTTTCGAAACACCCGATGCTTTTAGAAAATATCGTAGACGTTTCAACGAGACGCCAATGGAGGGAACAGATATAACATGTTGTTGTTCATGCTTTTTATTAAAATATCCCTTCACCTGATAAATATGCAACCGCTACCTTCGGAAGGACTGGTCCAGGCCACGGATATCTCCTCTTTCGGCACCTTGGACGTTTCCACGACCGCGTTTGGGCAAACTTCCAAATACCTCGACAGTGACTCGTCCTGGAGGTCGAACACGCCGCTCTCGGCGCCATCGTCGTCGCTCTCGGACTCGCTGGATATCAGGAACCTGGTGAACTTTCTGGGGCTCATTCCCAGACTCTCAGCTTGCACCGTTACTGCAACAAACAATTTAATATTTTTCCATTAACTCTTGTTCGCGCTCTCCTAAATCCGAAATTCTTCCTAATTGGAAGACAACTAATTGGACAACTTGGGAAGAGGAGATACGATTATTCGAGCCGTGCGGCTCGTTTTTATAGTTACCGATTGTCAACAACTATAAAAACGAAACCGCAAGGTTCCAATAATCGTATCTCCTCTTCCTAAATCGTCCACTTTTGTCCACAATCTGAGCGTCAATTAGGGAGAATTTACTACTATTATTATTATGGCATAATCAATCATCGTCTGATCCAGGTGTCAATGATTCTCAATTCTCAAGATCTCAACTTATAGTTTCTTAACGCTTGATTGCCGGAGCGAGTCAATTTGACTCATTTATGATTTTACTAATATTACTGTAATAATATATCTCTAATATATTACTATAATATTATTTACTTTAAAATTACTGTACAATACATTCTCCTGAGGCCATTTGAAGTAACTTTTTCCTTAGCGAAAATGCAATCCGCGGCTTCGTTTACGAGATATTAACGTAAAAACGCTGACCAATGAGAGGCGAGATTTGCTGGCGCGAGGCTGTCGAGCCAATCAGCGGAACTGAGCTTCGACCGTACGTTGGCTCGGCCGCTTCACGCTAGCTGATCTCGTCTCTCATTGGTCACTGTTTTTCGATAATAACTCGTAAACGAAGCCGCGGATTGCAATTTCGCTGAGGAAAAAGTTACTTCAAATCACCTCAGGAACCCCTCATTTCCCGCTTGTACAATAATTTACTGAATCTCTAGACTGAATTAGCTATTCAAATTTGTTGGATCAATTTAGCAAATAAAGGGTATAGATACACGACTGATTCCGTACTGAGAATATTGCACAAAGCAGCAGTGACGATTAACATTTTAAACAATTATCTTATACTCATTCGATATGAAAATTAAAACAAGGTCGAATGGAACAAAACGAACGAAATCTGAAAGAAAAGTAGTAGAATTAATTTTTTAATCCTTTTAGTTAAAGATTCTGCCGTCTTTTTGGCTGATATATTAAAATACAATCTTGATTTTCGGCGCAGACTTGACAAAGACACGATCTTAATGTACGACAAGCACGAATAAACAATCCAAGTTAATTTATTCTAAATAATAAATTAACACGAACATCTTCGGTAGATCGAATAAGCACGAATAAGCTATCCAGAGTCAATTTATTCTATTTTTATTCAATTATTCAATTTATTCTATCTCATCGCCCTTGAAATTAGTAACGCAATCTTGAATGGATCAAATGATGTTTAGTCAATGGAGTGAAATTAAAAAAAGGGCAATACAGTAAATTCTTTCGTCAGATCTTCTTCGTTTTAATTATCCAATGAATGAAAAGCTAGCAGTCATTCGCTCGTGTAAACGTGTGTAATCGAAGAGGTACGACATTCGATTGTTCGTCGTGTTGAACGTGACACGATATTTTATTTCGAAACGGTAATTCTAATTATCTATTTACGACCGGGGAACTGGTTCGCCGGTTAAAACAGTATACCGAACGCAGCGAAACGTTTTCGCCGAAATCGAATTAGAACTCGAAATTCTGTTTCAGCAACGGCCACGCTGAAATCCCCGTTGAAGTTCTGTTAACGTCGAATAAAATCCCGCACAGTTATTTCCGCGATACACGCGATATTTCAATCGATTAAATTGCAGGTACCGCCGGCGCTGCTCCTGTAATCTCCATGTATCGAAGGAATATTCGTATGTCTAAAATAGAAATATAGAAGCTCACCGCTCCGTGACCGGCTATTTATAACTCGGATTAAACGCGATGCACGCCGAGCCGAATGAAGTATCGGTGGTTTGCTTGAAAAATTTTTTTTTTACCGACGGTTTCTGTAAATCGTCGTCCCGGGTTAACAAGAAAAACTGCAGCACTCGAACCGCGATCACGCCGTCAAATCTTTCCGATAAATTCTGGTGTTGCTGGCAAAATCATGTTTCAACGGACAAAGATCTTCGACGTGAAATAAACTGTAAGGCGATCATTTTCGTTGCAGTAGTTGCATGGAATATCGGGGCTTTTCGCGGTATACATATTGCAATATCGGACGCAATTGCATACGTGCGACACGTCATTAAACGCAGGTTCATGCGGATGTACGAGTTCCTAGAATTGCAGGAAAAATTGTTAGATTATTGAAAATATGTTTCGAATACACTTGCATGGAATGTTGGCTTTTTTCGGTAATATATATGTGCAATATGCCACTGAATGCAGATTGATGTAAATGTAACAGTTTTTAGAATTATTTCTAGAATTTCAATGTAAAAAAAATGTGAGGGAGGGGAGTTATATTTATGTAATATATATGTATGTATTTATAATATAATTAATTTATATATTTAATAATTAATATTATATATGTGTTACATTAATAATATATATGTGTTATATTTATGCAATATATATATTATTAGGTAATATATATGTGCAATATGCCACTGAATGCAGATTGATGTAAATGTAACAGTTTTTAGAATTATTTCTGGCATTTAAATGTAAAAGAAATGTGAGGGAGGGGAGTTATATTTATGTAATATATATGTATGTATTTATAATATAATTAATTTATAT